GTGGTGTCAGTATGCAAGCCTTCATGAGTGGATGTTCATAGCAGTAGGAGGTAGTGTCCTTTTTGAAGCAGGCCATTCTGTAAGATAATGCCAGGAATTCCTCGGCAGAGAATGTATGTCAGTCAAATGGAAATTTCCAGCAACTTTGAAGCCACTGACAGTGTTACACATTCTAAAATGCATTAGGATAAACACTCCTCAGTCCATTTGTACCTTTGACTTATGACTGAACACATTCTCAAATATAGGTCATAAGTCAAATTCAGTATATCTTGGGATGCATGTGGTTATGTCCATGGAGCTCAAGGCCCAAACCTATTTTTTAAACATTGTTGACCCCCACAGCAATATAATTCTGTTCTTTGTACTATGAAATCAATAAAGGGACGTCAGATAGCACAGTAGTAAACATGCACTATTAAAAATATTAAAACAAGTAAGGTAAATTTTTTAAGACTTGCTATCTGAACTCACTAGAGTAGTAAGTACAACATGGATCATTAAGAATTACGATTTTAGCTACCAGAGCATTTAAAAACTTTGTGATCAGTTAAACTGACATTTTATCAAAATCTGATACCTCCATCACCATTCTGAATTCAGATAGGAAAGTTGTGGTTGTGGGAGGTTATGGAAGGGACTTGGCTTGGCAGAGGATAATAGAAGAGTTGCTGGGATCTTGGGCTTTTTGAAGGAGCTATCCAGGGCCTGAAATTTATTTGAGTCAGTGGTAAAATTTTAGAAAGCCTAATGAATGTTAATTTATGGGATCATGGGTTAAAGTACCACTGTACTTTTACTTGGATATTAGAACTTATCCTAGTTTTTTCAGCACTGACTATATAAAGTTTTGAAATGCTACTCACTGTGAATTCAAATGATTGTATTTATTTGATATATGAGGTGGAAAAGTAACCGTCATAATTCTGACGCTGTGTGCATTCAACTGAAGTCATTGCTGTGTATTTCAGTATCAAGAAGTGCACTGTATTCGTCCTCAGAGGGTGATAAAGTGACATGAACTGTTGGAAGAAAAATATCATTGGAGTCTAATGTTAGACCAACCAAAGGGATTAGCTCATCCAACTTTGTTGTGCACCAGATTAATGCCTTTTCTTTTGGTTCAACTAGAACACTGAACTCAACAAAAATTGTAAGATTTGAGGCTTTCACGGCAGTGACTATGAAGAAAGCAGTCTTCTGGGATTTGGCACCATGTATATGTGGTGTTAACCGACGTTTCGGAGGAACGTCGGTTAACACCACATGTACACGGTGCCAAATCCCAGAAGACTGCTTTCTTTAACAAAAATTGCTTGCTCTACCTTAGCAGTGTCTCAAGATTCACTGTTTCAAGATACAAGAGGAATTGTATATCTGTTTAATGTTATGATTAGGTTAAAATATCTGTGAATATGCAGTCAGCAGGATTCTGCTGTATTGATATAAATGTAACTGGAGATATGAGAAAACTTTCAAACAACATAATAATAGCCTTCTTTCTTTCACAAAAATAGTTTTCTTGACACAACAACACAACCTGGACGTAAACAAGCATTTATTACATTTAGACTCCTCCTATTGCATACCTGACATCATCCATGACCAGCACAACCCAAGAACCAAAGTATGTTAAATGATACTTTATGCTGAGGGATGTATATAGTCCTAAAAGTAAAAATTCTGGGGTAATCTAGCATATACTTGAAAGGAATGGGAGTGATTCATGATATGTGGCCATACTGATTAAAATAAACAGCTCACAGAATATGAATCATGCTCAGTGAAATAAAAAAGTGGAATACCAAATACTTGAGAAAATTAGAAAAATACCCTAACACACTAGCAGTGAACTTATTAGACCATAGCGAAACTACACATAAACTGAAAAGATACACTGTCCTAACTCTACCAGACAGACCTGAATGAAACCCCAATACAAGAATTAAAATGATACCTAAGTGAACAGAAAAAATTATGTGAGTTACTCCACTCGGCATAACTCATTCATGGGCCAGTATTTATTGAAAATATACATTTATTGCAGATTGTGCAGATTATGTATAAATGTGTGTGTTTGGGAGGGGGGAGTCAGTGATATAGATACCATAAAGAGAAACACAAATTTTAATTGACACTAGTAAGCAGGTTGGTCTAGAAGTGAACACAAAGAAAACTAAGTATATGTTGCTATCTTGTCACCAAAATGCAGGAGAAAATCGTGACATAAAGATAGGTAACAGATGTTTTGAAAATATGGCACAGTTCACATATTTGGGAATGACTATAACAAATCAAAACATGATTCAGGAGGAAATTAAGAGGAGATTGAACTCGGGTAATGCTTACAACCATCAGTCCAGAACCTTATGTCTTCTTGTCTGCTATAAACATAAAAATTAGAATATACAGACCCATAATTTTGCTTGTGGTATTGTACAGGTGTGAAACATGGTCTCTGATTTTAAGGTTGGAACATAGACTGAGGGTGTTTGAGAACAGGGTGCTGAGGAGAATATTTGGACCAAAGAGAGATGAAATGACAGGAGGTTGGAGAAAACTGCATAATGAGGAGCTTCATAACTTATACTCTTCTCCAAGTATAGTTACAATGGTCAAGTGAAGGAGGATGAAATGGGCGGGACATGTAGCACGAGTTGGGGAGAGGTGGAATGCATATAGGATATTGGTGGGAAAGCTATAAGGAAGGAGATCACTGGGACAACTAAGACGTAGGTGGGTGAACAATATGAAAATTGATCTTAGATAGGATGGTATGGATTGGATAGATCTAGCTGAGGATAGGGACCAGTGGAGGGATGTTGTGAACACGGTAATGAACCTTCGGGTTCCATAAAATGCTTGGGAAGTTCTTGAGTAGCCGCATAATTGGCAGCTTCTCAAGAAGGGCTCAGCTCCAGGAGTGAATGAATATTATATGGCACTTCCAAACTGAGTGAATGAATGGCGCAACAACAATAAAGGCTCTTGTGAAATGAAACATGATTATTAAAATTCAGAGTGGTCTCGCTACCAAATTCAGTAAATATATACATGTATTGCAAATGAATATTATCAGTTTGGTCAAAATACATACATAAATAGCCTGGTGATCTTATGAAAGTACAAACATGCAGCTAAAGAACAACAAAATTCTCTCAATATACAAGAAGTGCTGGGAAGAACTAGTTGCCTGTTTTCTTTTCATACGACATGAACAGCATAGAAAACGACGTCTCAACAATTCTTTGTTGCCGCGAGAACGTGTTTACCTAGCTGTTGCCTAGTAACTACAGGTGAATACACAGACCCATAGACTATTCTTTGATATGACATGGTCCGCACAGAAATAGCAAGTGCAACTATTTACCCATTGTTTCGTCTGCATTTGTTGCCACGGGAACATATTTACAAAGCCGTTGCCTAGCAACGATAAGGGGATGCATAGCCTATACAGACAGACTACTGATAGGGATTTATCAACTGTGCCATTGATATGGGCTTAGGTACCACGATATGCATAAAGATTGGTTCAGTCATTCAAAAATTTATAGAGGGGAAACGCAACAGACACACTGACAAGAAGCCTGCTCATATTTTTTTCAAAATAAGGAAAGAAATCTAATAATTTATAAAACGTTGTAAGCAAATACTGTATGTGTGAGACGTTTTCGTCTCACACAGTGTTCCCACATGGCGCTTTATAAATTATTAGCCTACTTCCCTATACATCACTCTTATTATTGTGTTGGGGACGGACGGGCTTTTCATATCTACTTGCCTTTATCCGCTTGGTTTTGCAGCCCGGTGGACCTGCTGTTGCTCTGCTCATCTTCCCCATCATCCTTCAGAGCTTGGCAAATAAATTTATGGTGGAGGGCAGGGGGTTGGCCTCCCATTGTTACTGATATGAGTTAATCTTTCTCCTCAAGAAAAATCTGTCTTTGAACGCCTTGCATTTCTAAACAGGAACTCACGGCAGTATCCAAGCAACAACATCAACGTTACTGTCGAAAAGTAGAAGGGATTACAGTTTATTAATTCTGCGTTGCGTCTCAACCTGGTAGTTCCACCTTGAGGAAAGAAGCAGTACCCACGTACCAGATGGCACAGTGTCATTATCCATAAACTCACTGTATTGACCTTCACTGAAGAGAAACCTTCCGACAGAAAAACTTGGTCTACAAGTTCTGCTCTAGATTTATATTTCTGAGGAGCTTGGTTCAAATGTTGGCCTGAAGGCTTCCCTTCCATTGTGTTCTTATACATATTCATCAGACGTGACGTCTGCAATGAGACAGTACATCAGATATTTGTAGACTTCAAGGAAGCCTATGTTTCAGTTAGGAGGGAACTATTGTACAGTATTGTCATTGAGATTGTGGTAATCATAAAATGCGTTCAAATAAAACCTATGTATAGGTAAATATTGTCTGATATATTTCATATTCAAAATTACCTAAAAACATGATGCTTTATTACCACTGCCTTCAACTTTTCTTTAGAATGTGCCATTAAGAAGGTCCAGGAAAATCAACTGGGACACATAAGCTTCTATCCTATGCTGGTAATGTAAATCTACAGGGTTATAACATAAATACCATAATGAACACAAACGCTCTAGTTGACGCTAGTAAGGATATTGGTCTAGAAGTAAACACAAACAAAACTAAGTACACTGTCATGTGTCCGGTTTTCCGTGACCAGTAGTAATGGGTTCTGAATTGGATGATTGTATTGACACTTCTATTACAATTACAATTAATTTTAACAGCTCACAATAGGCCGCGCATTAGCTCAAGCGATTAGTCCCTGGCTTCCCACCGCAGCGGCCCGGGTTCGATCCCGGGTCTGGTCAAGTGGGATTTGTGGTGGGCAAAGTGGCGTTGGGGCAGGTTTTCCCCAAGTGCTTTGGTTTCCCCCGCCAATCTTCATTCCACCAAATTCTCCATCATCATAATCACCCAGGGCAGGCTACAATAGGCCAATCAGTGGCCACCGTGACAAGTGGACCCAGTTGGACTCCACCCCCCACTATGGGAATTAAAAAGAAAACAACTCACTGTCTAAAACTTGCTCCATTTCTTACTGGACTATGAGTGTCTTCCATTTCACTGTGACTGACTTGGTTCTGATTTACGAATTGGTCACTTCTTCAGCTTCCGTTGTCCGCTGGTTAGCAATATAGTCATTCAGTTAAAATTTACATATAATAAAGACCACCGAGTCAACTTTAAATCTGTCAACTCATCTAGAATTTAACATGGTGAATACCTTTCAGCAATGACTACAGTTTTCTAGCATGTCCACTCACCTTTCTGATGTCAAGCTCATAGTTATCAATTATATAGAAAGGTTTCCAGTTTCAGGAATACAATATATTTAGTTTTGTTGTATGCCTGAATTGGTTATAACTTTAATGACAACATTAGTTCATTATGAAACAGATGGGAAAGCTAGTAAATGGTATATTATACGTTACAAACAGATTAACAGTGATTGTTTTGGCACAATGGTTTTAAGAGAACTGATTAGTCATGGTTCTGTTGTAGCCCAGTCTTCAGCTGTTGTACACTAATCAAAATAGTATTTGATGTCTTTTTATTATGCACATTGCTGTAAATGAGTGAGGGAAGTGAGTATCGTATGTCCTCTATTTACTGTTTCATAACAACTCACCAATTTCATATTTTCAAATTTATATTTCAATTTTAAACCTTGCGCTTTATAAAGTAATTTACAGACACTTTAACAAATTTACACACTACTTTCCCCTTTACCCACTGAGGTGACAGGATACACATACTTCTTCCGAGCATATGCAGCCTTGTCATGAACCTCTCCAATATTCGATAAGAGGGGCAAAGACTCCATCACTTGGACATGAGCAAGGCTCATTTCATGGCCTGGAAGGCTTATCTTAGAAGCCATTAGTCCAGTCTCCACACTAGTTGCACTCGGACCCTTCATGTGTCGCAGCACAGATGGAGAAGACATTATGTTACCATTCCGCTTCTTAAACACAGAACTCCCATTGTTGGCAACAGGTAGCTGGAAATCACTTACATTGTTGTTACCAGTACTGCTACTACAGAAACTATTGTCATCCATCACTGGACTCATATCAGTAGAAGAGAAAGTTGGCTTAAGTACATTGATACTGTCTGCAAAGTACATGATTCTCTCATTCTGAATGACTGTTTTCTTCTGTCTGTCATCTTCCAAAGCACCCCCTGGCAGATTGTGCCTCATATCTGCAAGTGGCTTCTCACTGGTGGGTTCGTGGCTGTCATCATCAACAGAAGGAACACAGTTCGACTGTTGGCCAAGATGCAAGACCATCATGCTCTCTAGGCTTGATGTGGAGTCTTTCTTTTCTAACACTACTGTCCTACTGTCAACAACTGCCTGTTTGGTTAAAACTAACATGGAATCTTGTTGGAAACTTAGGCTTTCTGTTACTTCCCCATCTGATTCATCACTCATGGAGTTCTGTGGTGTGAGAAATGTCACTTGCTTGGGGGATGAGCTGATGATCACCAGTGAAGTGTCTGCTGGAGGAGTAGGCTGCAGGAATCTAATGGAACTACAGTGGAGTGGTTGGGATGGGGGTGAACACATGGCTTTAACCTGAGAGTGGGGCTTCTCATCTTGATGAACATCAACGTTGACAGTAACCAAGTCTGCAGATGAGAATGGAGTACCTTTAACACTAATAAACACTTCACTATTTGAATTGTTATAATTGTCAGGAGATGAGCTGCTATCATCACTTGAAATGTGCTGCTGAGCAGATTCAAAACTAAGGTCATCATCTCCAGATGAGTAATTTGTATGTCTTGTGCTTACAGTATCTATTCCTGGCTTTGGGACTGCAGAAGTTAGATTTACTAAACCACTTACACCTTTTGATGTTCTGAAGAACCTTGGTGATTTTGAGCTCAAATGTGAAACACCAACTGAACTTCCATGTCCTCCATGTATTGATAATGGAGAAGATGCAATTCCTCCACCACTATCTACCAGCCTAGGGCCGACATAAGCAGGCATGCAACCCCTGTGGTGTCCAAACATGTCTTTGAGCGTTCTGTCAATGTTGAGCATCAGACTGCTGGCTCGCGAACTAATGCTAGACACTTCTGAGAGAGACTCTGGTGTTGCCAGAGGTGCTAGGCCAAACCAGTCATCATGAATCAAATCAACCTTCAATGTCTTTTGAGAGTCCATCGCTCCTCCACTGTTTACACCAAACATGTTGCATGAGTATGGACCACCATTAACACCACCACTGCTTTCAACATTACTGCAGTTATGGAAGCTGTGTAGGAGCTGTTCCTCCAAAAGTGATGCATATTCCCATGAGAGCACTGGATGCAGAGCAAATGGTGAAGTGATATGAGGGAGTCCATTATTGAAGGATTTCACCATAGTATGCCCACCAGTTGCACCCACAATCTGACTGCAGGTTGATGAGTTGAGACTAGTGTTCTGATGTGCCTCAGAAGATGGACTTTGCAGTGATGTGAAGCTTGTTTCAAGACACAGTTTGTGGGGTGGAGTGACTGCCTTTGGAGATCCATGCACAGCATTACCATTGGTTGCTAATAAGTGACAGCGTTCAGAGTCTAGATGTTCTGTTGACGTTACTGTAGAATTGTTGTTGGATGACACAGCACGCTGAGGCTTGGCGGGGCCAACAGTGGTTATAACCTATAAAACAAATGAACTTGAGGCAACATAGTTCAAAAAGGACTTTGTATCTACAAGCATTTAATGCATATGCTCTTCTACCTGCCTTGTTTTCTGTGCACAACATACTGAGATATATCAATCTCTAAAAATTGTACTCTAATTGCTATGCGGTACATTTAATTGTGTTAAAGATATGGCATTCTTTGCCTGTAGTATTTCAAAACTACTGAAAAAAAATTGTCTATATGTAATGAACATTGTTACTAGTATTGTAAGCTCAAGTATCGGGCTTCAAGAGTGCCATAATAAATCACAGAACATTAAACAGGACATGAAACATTGAATGTGGTTGCATGAAGGTCAACATTTGAAGATTATCTTCAAACACATGGACACTGAGATGGTTTACAGAGATTCTAAACCAAAACATTCAACATCAGGAAACTACTGGAGCTAAAAAAAGTATTTCAGTTGGTCTAGATGTCACAGGCAGCATCACACAACTGTTGCACTGAATGTAGTCTGTCCCTCAACAAGTATAATATGGGGAAGGAGGATGAAAGTGTAAAACTTGCTACAATTCTTTTATTAATTTGGGATAATAAAACACAGACCAGTTGAACTTCAGGTATTAAGGGGGTTCATATATTTACTTGTGCCCATGTGGCAACAGGGATACCAATGGATAGGTACATGTAGTCGACCAACTGTTCAGTTTCCTTAACAAGTGACTTATAAGCTGTGGAAGTTCAGACAGTGAAGTAAGTGGGAATCTACTGGTCAGACAAGATTCAACCTTCAATGGGCACAGGTCTATTCACTTATTTTGTTAACACTACTGCGTATAGACATCAGTCAATTGTGAAATCTAGCTTAAGGCCATAAACGTTAAAAATACCAGCACTGAACACATGCGTATTCTTCAAAACAATACAAATTGGGCTGAAAAAATCATAGGGGACTAAATACGTAAGGGTGCTGATAAGTCTTTGGTTTTTCCTATTTCACCAATTTTTATACTAATAATACTTTTATCGCATTAAAGTTTATTGTTTTGTATATGTCTGAACTAAATTTCATAAATGTAACCTGATTATTTAATGTTTGTTGCTGATCTTAAGTGAAAATGGCGGAAAAGAACAGAGATTTCACTGCCAAAGAGTGGCGAGCAGCACCCCCTTGTATGTAAGTCCTAGATACTGTTTATATATGGATAATGGGTTAATGCCCTTCAAAGTACACTTGTTTCATTTTTCCTGCTAGTGCTAGAAGTGCCTCTGAAACCGAATATTTGGACCAAATTTCCACCCTTAACAAACAAACTATGCTTAAGAGATAACCAAGCTCTCCATGAGAGTCCCCTTTCCCAATTTGTTAAGCGTTTGATCCAGCTGACTAATTTTTATGAAACTGGTATGAATATTCTGCCTCTGGAAGCCATTCTACTGACTTCTGAATTGCCTACAATCAATAACAAAATATGATGTTCATACATTTTTTTTAGCTTTCAGTCTGTCCCCACTGTGTGATCATAAACTGAGGATAACAGGTTGTAGTGTTGCACCGTGTTTTATTCACAACAAGAATATAAACAAATTCGCAAGTATGGAACACAAACTTAAAACCATGTGCTCATGACACAACACACATCAAGTATGGAAGAATTTGTGCAAATTTAAGAAAATAAATAAATTACACTTCAATACAAATCCTAAGGGAAATGAAAATAAAATAATATAATTTCATAATCTGCATTCATTTGTGTACCCCTGATAAAACAAACATCTTTTTAAATGAAAGCAGTCTTCTGGGATGTGGCGCCGTGTAGATGTGGTGTTAACTGACGTTTCGGAGGGACGTATCGCCTCCATCTTCAGGGTAGAAGGAAAAAGAAAAATATGAAAATCCGCAAGCGAAGAAACAGTGAGAGCAGGTGCAAGCAGACTAATGTCGGAAATAAACTCAGCTATATGAGAGCAGGAAAGGAAGGGACAGGTCTACATGGGAAATCAGTGGAGAGGGAGAGGGGAAGGGTCTGGGGAGCAGGAGCAATGTTAGAGCAGGTATAGGATATTGTGTGGGGAGAGAAAGGCAAAGTTAATGGGAGGGCATTAACCTTTAAGTTGGGGGGTTGCTATGGGAGTCGGTCATGGACTGCGTGGCCTTGTGGATCTGGCGTCAGGTCCCGTGGGTTTCTTGAGGGAACAGATGAGAGGCTTCCATGACTTGCTGAGACGACACCCCACCTCTCTGTTCATATTGTCGGGATGGAGTTCAATCTCAATGGCTTCCCTAATGATGCGATCCATATATCGGGTCTTGGTGGCGAGGATGGAGGTATTCTGAAGCTGAATGCGGTGCCCCAAATCGATGCTGTGTTCAGCTACAGCTGACTTGTCCGGATGTTTGAGATGGATGTACCGCTGATTCTCCTTCAACCTCGTGTCCACGGAGCGGCCCGTCTGCCCAATATGGACCTTGCCGTACTCGCATGGGATACTGTATACACCCGGTGTCCTTAGTCCCAGGCTATCGTAGACCCGCCGGAGGAAACTGAATAATTTGTTTGGAGGCAGACCCACTGATTTTATGTTGTGCTGGGACAGCACTCTGAAGATACAGTTGAATACAGTCCCGACATAGGGCAGGAAGGCGACTGAGCCCAGTTTATCTTCAGGTCAGCTGATGTTCAGTCGACGGTTGAGAACTCTGTGGATCTGCGGTTGTTGTATCCGTTCTTCGTGAATACGTCCCCAGGAGCACCAACTCCGCATGTAGGCTGTCTTGATCACAAAGAGCTCTAGCCCTGTGCACCAATGTGGAAAGTGCAGCTTGCTTGTTGGAAGGGTGGTGGTGGGACACAGCGTTAAGGTAGAGGTTTGTATGGGTGGATTTGCGGTACACTCTATGGCCCAGAGAACCATCGGGTCTCCTGTAAATATCTATATCGAGGAAGGGGAGGTGGCCCTCAGTTTCGGTTTCCATTGTGAACCGAATGCACTGGTGGATACTATTTAGGTGGTTCAGGAAGTCCTTGAGCTTGTCGGGACCATGTGGCCAGATGACAAAGGTGTTGTCCACGTAGTGAAACCAGCAGTGGGGCTTGTGTGGGGCAAAGTCAAGTGCCCTCTCCTCGAAGTCCTCCATATATAGGTTAGAGATGACCGGAGAAAGTGGTGAGCCCATCGCCACACCATCGGTTTGTTCATAGAACTGGCCATTGAAGTTGAAGTATGAGGTGGTCAGGACATGGCGGAAGAGTCTCAAGATGTCTTCTTCGAAATGTTGTCCTAGCAGATCCATCGTATCCTTTATAGGCACCCTGGTGAAGAGTGACACTACATCAAAACTGACCATTATGTCGTGGGGATCGACATGGAGAGAGCCCACTGTATGGACAAATTCCATGGAGTTACGTGGTGCGGACAGTTGCCAGTGTATGTGCTCAGTAGGCCAGCCAAGTGTTTGGCCAGGAGATAGGTAGGAGAGCCAATAGTGCTCATAATGGGCCTTAATGGAACGTCAGGCTTGTGGATCTTCGGCAACCCGTAGAGTCTAGGTGGCCTGGAACCTTGAGGTCGTAGCTGTTGGCAGACCTCCTCATCAATAGGGGACTTTTTCAGCAGAACAAAAGAACACATCTACATGGCGCCACTCAAGAGGTTAGTCGCTGGCTTCCCACCACGGCAGCCCGGGTCTGGTCAAGTGAGATTTGTGATGGACAAAGTGGCGCTGGGGCAGGTTTTCTCCGAGTACTTCGGTTTCCTCTGCCAATCTTCATTCCACCAACTGCTCCACAATCACCCTCACATATCATCTGGGGCTGGTACAATAGGCCAGAAGAGGCCGCAGTAACAGGGACTTAGTCCCACCCCACTAGCAATAAAAAAAAATACATGGCGCCACATCCCAGAAGACTGCTTTCTTCATAGTCACCGCCATGAAAACCTCAAATCTTACATCTTTTTAGAATATTAAAATTCTTTAGAATTTCAGGGTCATAACACATTACTGGGTTTGGATAATTTCTTATCTGCTAAGGACGCAATAGTTCCACCATACAATAACACAAAGTGTCTGTTAGGGGCAGTCAGCTTCATAATGTGTACCAAATGGTAAAACAAGAATATTTAAAGATATTCTTCAGAGAGAAGAACTGGCAAAGAAATTAGTGACTTGGACATCATGAGTTTTACAGGCGGCAGATATGTGTACGTTTAGTGACATAATAATGAGGAGGGCCCAAGAGAGCGAATAGTGATTAACAGAAAGATAAATGAAACTTCCATTCACTTAGGATTAGTTTATGTGACATAAATGAAAATTAGTATACATCATTGGTCAGAAAACATCAAGATTTGCAGATAACAACTTGCAAAACTTAAGGATAAATGGAAGTGTAATATAAGAATGGATTTCAGGGCAACAGGGAGAGGACTGAATTCATGCAATTCATTATAGGTGGGCTTTTATGAACTCAATGAAGACATTTTAAGTTCCATGACAGTAGGAAAGAACATGACTAGCTCAGTACCTACCAAGGTGCATGCTATGGAGTAGTGGTATAACAAGTTCCTTGGTTACAAATGTAAGTATGGTAACAGATTGCAAGTTGAGCATGTAACTACTAGAGACAGTTTTTTAAGAAATTATGAACAAACTACCTTCGAATGTTCATTTCATAATAATTGAGGTGGGAAACTTGCAAGATGTCTTATTTTGGTGGAAGTTCATCACCGTGTTCACAAGAGCAAACCACCAGTCACTACCTTCAATGAGATCAATCCAGTCCATACCACTCCATCTTGTCTGTCTAATATCCATTATAATATTATACACCCACCTACATCTTGGCCTTCCTAGTGGTCTCTTTCCTTCTGGCTTTCCCACCAATATCCTATATGCATTCCCCATTCGTGTAGTATGTCCTGGCCATCTCATCCTCCTTGACTTGGTGATTCCTCATTATGCAGTTTTCTCTAACCTCCTGTCACTTCATCTCCCTTCAGTCCAAATAT